CCAACCTATTACCCAGTGAGAATTTGAATCCGCACTACAGCAGGACCCCCCTTTTTCCTCAGAGGATTAGCATGTTCATGGAATACGAATGAATATTAATAAAGTGTGGCCCATGTTTAACCCATATACCTGGTCTCGCGTGGTTATTCCGGGATAAGTTGGCAATGTACTTCAGCAGGAAACAAACCCTTGCTGACTTATAACCACAGAACCAAACAGGTTAATGCTCACACTAAGTTGTTCACATTTTTGGGCAAGAAAGCATTGGGCTGCACATTTACAATTTCCTCCCAGTCTTTTTCACATAACTATTTGAAATAATAAACAGGCTATGCAAATTCAATGATACTGAGAAAGGCTCTATATGTCAACAGCTAGGGCTGACATGAGTATGCAAAACAGGTACCAGATCCTTAGAATGTCACTATCTGTTTAACAAGAGCTTGTTGTTTTCTTCATGAAAGTCATTTGTCTCTAACGGAGATGGGCATGAACCAGCATTTCGATCCAGTTTGGTGCTGCACCTGCACGAGTGTTCTGCGAGCACTATGCACTTCCCTCTCCCACCTCCTCTGTGAGCTTGCCCATTCCCCGTCAATGCACACTTCTCTCCCTGCCTCCTCAGCACAACTGTCCAGTCTCCAATTTCAGTGCACACTTCCATCCTTCTCCTCCTCTGGTGGCTGCCCACTCAAAGGCAGAGCTGCAGGCTTCCTTGTCATACCTCCTTGTCTGAGTGGGCAGCCATGGGAGGAGGCAAAAGAGGGGGGAAATGAATGAATGGGTGTAGCCGGCAATAATGTTTCAAATAGGATGAAATGAACTGATATCATCAAAATCAATGGGAATGTTCCAACAGTATAGATACCACAGGACCGCAAAAAATAAATGTATCGGTACAACAGAGGTATGGAAAGAATTGGTATAACTGAGGTTCTTTTGGCAAGTGTGCTTAGGCCCTGAGTTCCTGCTTGCATACAACATTTGTTCTGCTTCCTCCATCCCCATGCTTTGATCAGGGGTCGCTTGATAACAGGTGATAGCCCTTAGGTCATGGAGGGTGTGGAGGAAATCTTTGCCATCTCCCTCTTCTGGTTCCCCATCATTTCTCTATTTCATGCCACAATCTATTTATGTGTGTTCTCATATGGACAAAATCTGAGCAATGTAGCTAGCACTTTAAAAGAAAAACCCTTGTAACACACATTACATACAAAGGGCTTTATCATTTTCTCATTTACTTTTCCAATTACTTTATGCAGAAGGTCACCATTAATCTCATTTTGGACACAGAGAACTGTGTTCCAGAGGGGGAGAGTGAGTTGCCCAACACTATCCAGAAAGTCTATTGCTGAGTTGCATGTTAGCCTAGGAAACGTGAACCAAACAAAATGCTCCTTTTTCTGGAAGGAGGCCTCAGATGGGATTTATTTATTTTCTAGAAATCCTATCTTTTCTTCAAGATGCTCAGAGGTGCAACTCATTCTAACAGTAAGTAGATTAAGCTGAGGCCTGTATTCAGATAACATACCTGGATACAAGGATGTTGTGTTTTATACTTTTATGGGCAGATTTACTTGGAGCTTCCCAGCCCATTAAGCCATGAAGCAGTTCGTGTTTGTGAGCTGAACAAACCAGGATTATTTTACTAGGATGTGTTTATCAATTCATCCCAATATGTTCCACCATACAGAATCAGGGACTTGAATCCAGTCCCTGGGGTCTGGCCAGCATTTTGATACATGATGTGACAAAACTCTCACCTGTTCTATCCAATAACATCAAGAACATGATTGGCTGAAAGGACAACCAATCTAGAGAAGACAACAGATATTTAAAACAAGAGATGAGAGGTTTAGTCAGTTAACAGTTAACAAAGAGTTAACAAAAAGCAGTTAGAGTGTATCTCAAGACAGGAGCGTGGGTTTCCAGGGAGCTTATTGTAGGTTCTGTATATGATAGAACTTGTTCTAGCATGGAAAGTTGATTCTTTTAACACATGAAACTTCAGGCTTATGGGAGCTTATTTAGTAACCATTATGCTGACTAAATAAAGAATTTTATTTCATGTTTCACTCTAAAACTGCTTGGTTTTTATGATTTGGGCTTAAGGATGGCCCAGGGAAAAAGATAAGGCAGGTCAAATGGTGATTAGCCAGACAAGGCTGGTCACACATAGCTCACTACTACCACGGAACTGATTATAGGGCCAACTGATGCGAAGTAGGTAGTCTAGCCAGTTGTTCGTCTTGGACAGGAAAGGTAGAAGTTATGATGCCACACTGAATGAGCCAGGAACTGTAGCCATGTTAGTGGTAAACCTGAACATTTTGCCGTCAAATGGATAAATTGCTTTTAGACTTCTTACCTCAGCTGATACTCCAGCTGTTGTCTCATCTATGACAATATTTCCTTTTCTGCTTGTCCTGCCTATATCCAGGCTACCAACAAATACAGTGGTGCCTCGCATAGCGATGTTAATTCGTTCCAAAAAAACATCACTATGTGAAACCATCGCTATGCGAAACACCATTTCCCATAGGAATGCATTGGAAACCGGTTAATCCGTTCCAATTGGAACGGATTGCCGTTGTTAAGCGAAAAAACCCATAGGAAACATCGCTAAGCGAAACAATGTTTCCTCCATTGGAATGTATTGAAGCTGACTCAATACATTTCAATGGCTTTGCGAAGTCAATTTTTGCAAAATTGAGTGTGTCATAAAAGGGTCAAAATGGTTTTAAATGCTTGGATTAGCTTCTGCACCCTCTAAAACGGATGCAAAAGTTAATTTGGCTTTGATCTGACTTTTCGTTAATTTATGGTGAATTTTTCCCCCCCAACTTTTGACAGCTGTCAAAATCTGACAGCTCCATTATTTCCTATGGGGGAAGAAAAAATTCACAAAAAAATAGCGAAGACTCAGCAACTGTTCTAAATGCTTGGGTTCGTTAGAGGACCCCCTAAGTCATGTGCAAACCTGATTTGGCTTTGATCTGAACTTTCGTTAATTTTTTGTGAATTTTTTCTTCCCCCATAGGAAAGCATGGAGCTGTCAGATTTTGACAGGTCCATTGGTTCCTATGGGCCGGAAAAAAAATTAACCATAAATTAACGAAAAGTCAGATCAAAGCCAAATCAGGTTTGCACATGACTTAGGGGGTCCTCTAACGAATCCAAGCATTTAGAACTGTTTTTGACCCTTCTAAGACACTTTTTTAATTGAAAAAAGAAACATCGTTAAGTGAAGCAGGGGACCTAAAATCGCATTCGTTATGCGAAGCATGGTCCTAAACTTCGCTAAGCGAAAATCGCCCATAGGAAACATCGTTATACGGTGCATATTATTTTCTTAAAAAACACATCGTTATGCAAATTCATCGCTAAACGAGGCAATCGTTAAGCGAGGCACCACTGTATCTGGAACATCTCACAGTTCTCAAGTTGCAGAACATATGTTATGATATAAAGGCTAAGAACTAGAACAAAACAAGGTCATACATAAACTTGTGTGTCTGTCTGTCTGTCTGTTATTTAAAAAAGCAGATGGGGAAGCATTTATAATTAGCTAAAGAAAGGGGGCTTTGAAAGCAATAAACCTTCAAAACATAATACAGTATTATTAGCAACTTTCATCAAAATGAAATAAACCTTGGCTAATTTACATTCTCATTCATGGCTTACTTTATTTTAAAAAAGCACTGAGATGAGTAATATATGCTCACCTTAAATGCAACATGTGCTTCCTTTAAACGAATTCATGCTTTGATTACTGAAGCAATCCATGCTTTCATGACTACTAGTCTAGGAGGCTGCTGGTCCTCCAGATTTTGTTGAACTATAATTTCCATTCTCTATATTTATGAGTGCTGATGGGAGATGCCATCCAACACAACCTGCATGGCCAACAATTGCCCTGGTCCAAACTTCCCACACACTCTGGTCTAAATTCATGCATGATTGCTCCTGGATATAAACATGCCTATCATGTCCTGCAGGTGCTTTCAAACTGCATAGCAGGTTCATTCACATCTGATGAAATGAAAATTAGCAGTTAAAATCAAGCCCCATATACAAAATTATGAGAGAGTATTTTAGAGGATGTGGTATTCGGGTATAAACTATGTGCCACTGGGCACACAACTAGTACATTTATATGTTCTGGAATCCTATTTGAAGAGGTAGCATTCACAGTTATGAGTAACCATAATGAATAGTTCATCTACTAGCATACATACACAGCAGTCAAATAAATGTCACACTATCCCTCTATAGTATGGAATGGCACAAAAAGATCTATGGATTGTTCACACTTCTCATTTACTCTGGAGTACTCAAGTCATCAGTAAATCAGTAACCAAACAAGTGTCATAAAATCTACCACTGGCATTGCCTCACAAATCGAAGCTGTATATGAACACTTTGTCAGAAGTACCCTGTGTCAATGAAAAGATCTTGGCTTTGCTTTTTGCAGTTGTTTTGTATAAAGGACTATAATAGAAGTTGGAGTTTGTTTTTTCTTTTTTGTTTTTTTTAATTAGAATGACCAGCCATTCCTGTGGAGTATACACCTTTCACGGAGGCAGCTGGAAAGGAGACTGCTTATTTAATTGGCCCCTCAGTGGCACATTTAGCTGATTTTTCCCCCCCGTTAATATAAGAAAAAGCCAGGTTGAATCAATATAGTTTCCCTTGAAGACTAAGCACACCTTATGGTTTGCTCTTTTTATTAACTAGTCTTCTTCAACATTCCTGAAAGCGTGGCTTTCACAGGTCAATGACAAAACTATATTCATTGGGGAGAAACATGTTCTGCGGTAACTGGCTTGAACACTGCCATGAATATGAAACTTGAGGCCTTAAACAGGCCTTTAGCCATTCCTACCATAGATATCTAATCAGAGGAGGAAACTTGAGAAAGAAGACTGCAAGACCTGCAAGAATGAACCAGAGTTACGCCTCCTCAGAATAACTCTTTTCTGGACTACAGACTCTTAATATCTTTCATGCACCGTGGTCAGTTGTGTTCTTGAGAGCAAGTTCAAATAAGAAGGAAATTCTACTCAGCCATACCTCATAATTGGCATCTGATGTTCAACTAAGAGTGTAATTGAAATAATTCCTTCATTATTTTAGCCATTGCAATTTTGAAAATAGCAGCTTTTTTTTTACAAAATATCGTATTAAAAATGAGCATTTACCTGTAATATCTTAATAACAAGCTGCTCTCCGAAAGCAGTGGGTCAGTATTGGTGGACCATCTACAAGTCATTTTTTGTAAGTTGCCATACGTTTCACATGTGATACTGATATTAACATCTGTTTTAAAGACAGCATTAAGAATATAAAAATATAAGGAAAAGGTTTGACAATATCTATTGTTACTTTATTGAAAATAAGGTGACACCTTACCTATTATATACAATTCAGCATAACGGTGATTGCATTCCTTGTTTTCATTACAACAGTATAAAGCATTAAAAAGGAATTTGCCTCCAGGTTTCATTGCTTTTAGGTTGACAAGTGTAACCTTGCTGATGTAGTTATTCACAAGTGTATACTGACTTCTAGGAATTTCCTTTGCTAAATTTAACCACCAGGCTATCTTCTTGGATGGGATTATTCTGTCTTTGGTCTTATATGCACAATAAAAAGAAACATTCGTTCCAACACTTGCCAGGATCCTTGGTGGGAAATACATCACATCTGTGGCAAAAACATAATTGAAACACCAGTTATAAACCTGCAGAATACATCACAAACATACTGTATAACAACAGAAATATCAACATGCTGCCAAGTCAATTCCAATTAATATAACCTTTCCCAGGGTTTTCTAGTGGTTTACCTGTTCCTCTTTCTGGTGGTAGTGTGAGACCCTGTAGCTTTCTTAAGCCTGGCTCTTTTGTCAGGTGGCACTGTGAAGAATCAAACTCACAACCAGAAGCTTCAATGTGTTCAAACGTCCATGCCAGTTCACAAATATATGCAATTCACAATTAACTTCCTATACATTACTGCAGGTTACAGTTATTTATGATGGGGGAAAGTATATTTTTCTCACTGATTGCAAACATAATCCTCTCCGCCCCCATGACATAATATTCTTTCCATGCATGGGACAACTTGCTTGTCTACCATTCATTAAAGTGATGGGACCATTTAAAAATATAACCTAATACATCACCTAATACATCACATCGCACTGTGGTTCCTCATGGACTTTAATTCAATGTTACACACCAAGAGGAAAAAGCTAATCCAAACATATGACTGAAACAAACAAATAGAGAAAAAAGAATCTAAGGCATTTTGAAGTATACTTAATGACGATATATGCATACGTCAGAGTTGGGCACAAATGGTCTTTTGACATTCTTCATCCTACTTTCAAGCAGAGAAGTTCAGGAAAATATTTCACAAAATTTCTCCAGGGGAAAATGAAAATTTGCAGCAGTTTTTGAAAGGTGGGATTCCCCATTAGCAGTGGATGAAGAACAGCTTTGTTCTTTTTTCCCCCCTTAAGTCAGAGACGGGCAACGGGTGGTCCCCAATTGTCTGTGCTCCCTGCCATTCCTCTGGGTGCCTCTTAGGAATTTTTTTTTTTAAATGCAGATATTGGGGAGCCAATGTCATTTTTACAAGTATAATACTAATTCTAATACTAATACTGTTGATAGAAGGCATGACAATAATTCAACATGGGCATGGCTAAAACTGGAGACCATTAAGAAAGAAACCAAAGGCTTGATTTTAGCTGCACATGAACAAGCACTCCAAACCAACGTGATAAAAGTTAAAACAACAACAAGGAACTAGAACTAACAGCAAATGTCAACTCTGCTGAGAAAAAGATGAAACTGTGTCACCCCTTATCTGCGAATGTCCAAAGATTACAAACAGATTACGAAATTGGACGTGATTGACTGGCAAAATTAGTACACTGGTCATTATGCAAAAAATATAACTTCTCAGCCGCCAAAAATGCATGGGAACATCAGGTAGAGAAAGTGTCAGAAAATGACGAGGTCAAAATCTTGTAGGATTTCTGCATTGAAATTTATAGATACATGGAACATAGCACACCAGATATAGCATTAATAGAATGAAGAATTGACATTGCAATTCCAGGGGATGCCAGAACTGAAAATAAATACAAACCCCCAATGTATAAAACTACCCCTTAATTTTGACCCTTGATGGAAGTGGAGGAGAAGTTAATGGGAACTCCTCTACCTCTGTCTCCTGCTGCTGCTGCCCCAGCTCATGTGGCCTAAGGAGACAATCACTGGAGGAGGTGATCCAGTGGTGGTGGCAGCAGGAAGAGGCGCCCGAGTGCTCGTTTGCCTGTGCCTCCTGCTGAGCCCCGTCAGTCCCACTAGAGGAGGTGATCAGGCGGGCGGGGGAGGCAGCAGCAACAGGTGCCCGAGAGCATGTGAATGCTCCTTCACCTCTGTCTCTGCCTCCTGCTGCTGCTGTTGCCATGGAGGGAACAAGACATGACCTCTAAAAGAGGTAATTGGGCAGCTGCGGCAGCAAGAGGCACCTGAGCTCCCGGGTGACTGCCTCCTTCCTTGTATAAAATGACCCTAAATTTTTCCGCTAATTATTTTAGGGAAAAGTGTTGTTTTATACACAGAAAAATACGGTAATTTTGAATGAATGTTAATTAATCTTGGACAGAAACGTTTGGTCTGGTTAGAAAATGATAATTTTTAATTATAAACAAATACAATATAAAAGGGGAAAAATACTAATTCTTTTGGGTGCATGGTGCTTGAGCAGCTGGTCAAATTCAAAAGTAGCCCTGAACACCCTGAAAGTTATCTAGACATATTTAAAGGGGTTTTGGATTTACACTACAGTACGTCTGCAGATGTCAACAACAGCAACCACGCTGCCAGCCTGACTATGATTCTGCTTCTGTCCCAACACTTTCTACGTAATGTCATTTTAGGCTATCATGGTGAGTTAGTGGCAGCCATCCAAAATGGTGGAGAAATTTGGAAAATATCTTTGTGAAACAGCCTTCTATGTCTAGAACAACAAGAAACAGAATCACCTTAGAATGTTTCTCAGAAAAATGTTTTCTCAGACATTTTGGCAAGCACTTTCCTCAGGGCCTATAATTTTGTACATTTTCTGTGTGACATTCTAAATACATTTCATCTCTACTGCAGATGATTTCAAATACATTTTCTTCTCTGTAAACATTGCAGCAAATATGGCGAGCAGTGTTGTGTCCAGGAAAAAAGATGAAGCTACTGATGTGACCTTATCTGTCTTCCAATTTCCTAAATGCTTTATTTTCCCATGAAAAAAACTTCCTTTTTTTCTGTCTCATTCGCAGGGGCCTTTAGAACTTATTTTGATTGTTCTTCAGAGTATAGTAATATTGTAAGGTGGCCAAAGCCATGGTACTTGTTGTTGTTGTTGATGATTTCATTACACATCTATTTATCACTCTGCAGCATCTGTGGATGGTCATACTTCCTGACTGAAAAAGTTGAATGGAAGAAGATAACTTATGACATCTTCCCAAAATTTTAATTGAAATGGGGAAGCTATTGCTTCTATAGAGGTCATTGTACAATGAAAGACATGAATAAGGAAGCAAAAGGAGCAAGTCTACAAGAGCTCATTTCAACAGGTAGGAGTCGAGGCTTAGATGATGTAAGAAGAGCTAAAGAAAACATTATACACATTGCTTCCCACAATCTGAGTTCTGAGTTTAACTGGATTGCACTTTGGCCTGGTTGGTTGGTTGATTGATTAGTTTATAATACTTTTATCCCACTTTTCCTTGAGAAGCACTTCAGGCACCTTATATCAATAAAGACAGTATTTACAGTTAAGAACAATGTGTATAAAAATACTAAAAAAGATCAAATGAATACTACTGTATTGAAAAACATAAGCAACATCAAAACACATTCCAAGCAGAAGTTACAAGAATATTTCTTAAAACCCCCACTCAGACAGGCAGTTATTAAGGGGAAGCTTGCCTAAAAGAAAGGCCTTTGCTTGCTTTTGGAAGGACTGCACAGATGGGGGCAGTGCACCCTCCTGTGGCAGGAAGTTCCGAAGTCCGAGAGTAGCAACAGAGAATTTCTTCTCCTGTGTCCCCACCAAACACACAAGTGAAGGTGGTGGGATTGAGAGAAAGGCCTTACCTGAGGATCTTAACTCTAGAGGAGGTTCAAAAAGGGAGATGCAATCCTTGAGATACCATGCAATCCTTGAGATACCATGAATTGTGCCCAGAAACAGATTGAACGGCAGTGGAGCTGCTGTAACAGGAGAATTATGTGATCCCTGTGTCCAGCACCAGTTAGCAATCTGGCTGCTGTATTTTGCTCTCATAAAAGTATACAGTGGTGCCTCGCATGATGACGTTAATTCGTTCCGCGAAAATCGCCATTGGACGAAAACGTCGTCATGTGATATTAAAAAACCCATAGAAACACATGAAAACCCAATTAATGCATTCCTATGGGCTTAAAACTCACCGTCCAGCGAAGATCCTCCATAGCACGGCCATTTTTGCTGCCCGTGCAGCGAGGAATCCGTCCCAGAAAACAGCGGGCGGCCATATTTTTTACCCAGTGGCCATTTTGAAACCGCCGATCAGCTGTGCGAAAATCATCGCTTTGCGATGATCGGTTCCTGAAGTAGGGAACCGATCATCGCACAGCAAAATTCCCCCATATGGAACGTCGTTTTGCGATCGCTTTTGCGATCGCAAAAACTTTGTCATGATGTGATTTCGTCGTGAAACGGAGCGCCCGTCTTGCGGGGCACCACTGTACTGTTTCCAGAGGGCAGTTACAGAACATATTTATTCCTACATATATATGGGAAGCATGTGGATGGGCAATTCTAATTTTCCCCGCCTCATAATTGGAGGTGGAGACATTGAGGACTCAGTGGCTCCCAAAATGAAAAGCTGAGAAGACTCCATGAGCAGAAATAGGCTTCTCTTTTTTGCCAAAATACAAGGGGGGAGGGGACGTTTTAAAAAGTTAGGAGGCCTTGGGGACCATAGGATTCCCACCCTTTCTATAGAAGATACTGTATATGCATGGGAGAAAACACATTATATCATAGGCCAGCATTTATTTTCTACATGTGATGGAGAGTAGAAAGGATGGTGCAGAACATGAGTCCAAGACCAGTTCTAAACAAATGCAAAGAGGTGTGGGGAAAGCGTAACATCTCAGGCTTCCAAGCTGGTCTAGCAATGTATTCTGTTCTATACACACTAGTTGTTACATGGCTTCTCATTTAAGGTATCAGTGGTACTGTGGCACTTCATTGTACAAAAGATTTTCACAAATTACTTCAAATAGACTTTAAGAAAAAGAAGCATCTGGAAATTTCGAAAGGACTATCTGCTTCTGTCAAAACTGGAACTACCTAACAGAAATTATGGAAGTAAAAGTAACAAGAAGCCAGTAGGTCAACAGGGTGGATTTCACGCGGAGAAAGTATTTAAATACATGCAGTGATCTCTGATATGTAGTATCTCTGATATCACTCATCCTACTCTTTTAGTGCATGACAAAGCCCAATCAGAGTGTACCCTTATTTGATCACTAATTGACAACACACAATAATGAAGAGTTTTATTTTGAAGAGCTGGCTAATTTGCTAAGCACTGCATAGTAACTCTTTAATAAAATAAATAGACTTCCAGTACAGTTCAC